GATCTATATACTTTGTTTTCTTCATAGATGGTTTATCAAAGATGGTGTGGACTTACACTCTACAGAAAAAAGGTGATGTATTAAATACATTCAAGCATTGGAAAGTTAAGGTTGACAGACGGACTAGGAAGAAGGTGAAGTGCGTGAGGATCGACAATGGTGGAGAGGATACGTCAGCAACATTATGAATTTTTGTAAGAACGAAGGAATTATTCGTCACAATCACCACTTCGAAGATGCCACAACATAATGGAACTGTTAAGCATGTGAACAAGACACGTCTAAAGAAGGCCTGCATCATGTTGAGTAATGTTGGTTTATCAAAGGATTTTTTAGTAGAAGCAGTTAGTACGTGTTACCTCCTCAACATGTCACCATCTATGGCAATAGAGTACAAACCATAGCTAGCAAGTCACCTATTTAACCACGACTTTTTCAAAAAATCAGTGCTTTTTTGAAAAACGATTTAATTTATGACTTTTTCAATCGATCGATAAAAATACGCAATTTTTTCATGAAGTTTAAAACACGACTTTTTCAAAATTTGAAAATTTTGTTTCAAATAAACTTTTCTATTGATATACTCTTATTTGTTTTTGGAAAGTTCAACATATTTTTCCTGTTTTATGAAATTTGTATTTCTATTTTTATTTCTATTCTCCCAAAACTTTCTCTGGTTCTCTACTATGGTGTCTATTTTTTCGGGTGGTTATGGGTAGATCATAATTAACAAGTATGGGGTAGACTATTTCTTTCTAGAAAGATGAAAATTGAATTCACCTAACCAATATTTATCTTGGCAAATAGAAGGAAAAAGTTTATACAAGATTGCAACCTTAAAGTGTAGAATTACAAATGCACCTCAAAAATCCATTGAAAACGGTTGTTTTAATGTTGAAAAACCCTCTAACCAATCATTTCGACATCGAGATGTATGAATATGAAAAAAAAATAGATTTTGGGTCCCAAAAATAGTGCATCTTGCAACATATTATCTGGACTGTTCAATTTTCAAGATTTTCATATGTTTAGAGATCTACTTGATTTTAACCATTTTTAGAGTTTCAAATTTTATAATTAGAGATGAAAATAGATTTTAAGATAATCCTAATAATTTTTTACACCAAAATTACATGTTATGATCAAATTTGGAGGTACACCTTAATTGGATTGTTTTAGGTTACAACCTTATAGAAACCACACCCCGAATAGAATAGATAACCATATTATGATTTAGGGATATATCACATTGAATATTTGAAATTTATATTTACAGGGAGGTCATTTTTATACTGAGTGATATATATATATATATATATAGAGAGAGAGAGAGGAGGAGAGAGAGAGTAGTTACTAAATTACTAATT